TAAAACCAATCCCTTTTACCCCGAATAACAGAATTAAAGAAGATGGTGATGTGGAGGGAAGGAAAAAGTAGGGAGGGGGAAGAACCGCACAAATGAAGAAAAACCAAAAGAAGAATATAGGTCTTACACAGACCCCTGGGAGATCAGACAATGAGAAAACAGATTCTGGAACACAGACAATGAAGAGTCCCCAGAATGACTGGCTACATGCAACAAACCCAGACATCAAGACATTAATGGAGAGAATTTAAAAAATTGAGGAGAGACAAGAGGAAAATAGGAAGGAGCTGTTGTCAGAAATGACAGCAGTAAAGAATATTGTGATGGAAAGGAACAACAGACTAATAAGCATGGAAAGCAGAATCAGCCAAGCCGAAGAAAGAATCTCAGAGCTCGAAGACCAAAACACAGAACTAACCCAAACTGTCAAAAGCATAGAAAAGAAGCTCAAAAAGACAGAACAAAACCTGCAAGAGATGAATGATCACTTCAAGAGACCAAACCTAAGAATAATTGGGCTTCCTGAGGCAGAAAGAGAAACAGAAGCCACACTGGAACAAACATTTCATGAAATCATTCAAGAAAACTTCCCTCATCTCATTAAGGATGAAAAAATTCAAACACAAGAGATTCAGAGAACCCCTGCAAGACAACAAACGAGAAGACCAACTCCCAGACACATAATAATTCGCCTAAACAAAGTAACTATGAAAGGAAAAATCCTAAAGGCAGCAAGAGAAAAAGGCCAGACTACCTACCAGGGAAAATCAATTAGAATAGCAGCAGATTTATCAACAGAAACCCTTCAGGCCAGGAGAGCCTGGAGCCCTATCTTCAAAGTTCTAAAAGAGAAACAATTTCAACCAAGAATAACCTACCCAGCCAAACTAAGCTTCATAAATGAGAGAGAATTGAAATCTTTTCCAGACATCCAATCCCTAAGAACCTACGCCGCTACCAGACCACCTCTACAAGAAACACTTAAGAAAGTACTGAACACAGAAGAAAAAGAAAAAAGAACAACAGCATTCTTCACAAGAGTACAGGCAAAAGATTAAAAACACACATGAACCAACTCCAAAACCCAAAGAAAGACAACAACTAAACAGGAACAACTCTGTAAGAACCTTATGACAGGGATCAACTCTTGCATTTCAATTATTAGCCTAAATGTGAACGGACTAAATGCACCACTGAAAAGACATAGATTGGCAAAATGGATAAAATATCATCAGGCAACAATCTATTGCCTTCAAGAGACTCACCTCACTAGAAAGGACATCCACAGACTCAAAGTAGGAGGATGGGAACAAACTTCCAGGTGAACGGAATACAAAAGAAAGGAGGAGTAGCCATCTTAATTTCAGACAAAATACCCTTCAAACTATTAAAATC